CAAAACCATTTGCAAATAACATGGCATATATTGGATTTTTAAGACATTATATATATATAGTCATATCTTGGACAATATGGGTTGTGCTGAACTGAGTTTCTCGTTTTTCTTTTCTTGGTGGGAATCTGAGTATCTCTTTTCTTAATCCAGTTACTATAAGTTAAGTCAATTTTACGGATTCATCAAATGAGCAGTGTATATACATGTTGTCTCGCCACTCTTTGTTAATCTAATCCCACAAAAGATGGCAAAAAATGACTTCCTATTTTGGTGATGAGATATTAGATTTCTCGTGCGAACTCTTAAAGTTGACAAATGTTGCTTTGAAACATTTGACCAACCACCAATTCCGCATGATTATATATAACTGGGATTTTTGTAAAGTCCAATATGCTTCAGTTGTTGCAATGCACTCACATGGTCTTTGCCCTAAATCATTGGCATTTGATTATAAAAAAGTTTCCATTTCTCAATTTGTCTTCACAGCTATCACATCGCCGGTGTTGTATACTATGTGCACGCTTCTCCAAATTTAGGAATCCAACAGAATTCATTGTAGTGTTAATCAAAAAACAAAAGTACTAAAAATATTTATATTTACTAAATCCATTGATAGTATTGACTCCTATTTGCCAAAATATTGAGTCTCTTTTTCCAAAATCTTGACGTTGATTACTTAAAAACAACCACGCACATATAGATATTACATGCATTATGCATTTTAACTTCATGATGTGCATACGACAAAATAGTGTTACATATGTATATGGGGCACAAGAAGAGGCCCTCGCTCTTAATGTCATCCAGATGGAGGATAAGGACAAATTAATTATTAAAAAAGGACAAACTAATCCATTATTTCTAACCCCGTTTTTGTTTTTTTTTTATGAAACAATGTTTGTTATTTGTATCATTTTCTCTCCAACAATAACCCATTATATGAAAATAAAAGTAAAGTCAAATAGCAAAAAGTCCACTATTATATTATCTAAACAGAGAATATAATTGAGAAATATAGAACCAAACGCAACATTTAAACAATAATAAACATGGAGATTTTTCAAAAAAAAAAAAAAACATGGAAGAGTTATCCCTACTCCACTTGTAAAATTTGAAATCAGTAAATTCAAAAATATTTAAAAATTCTGTATAAATTTTTAAAATAAAGTAAATACATAAATTAATAAAATCTTCCAAAAGTAGTTTCATTTGGATTAAAGAAGAAGGTATTTTAACCCCTTCTTTGGATATAAATGGGAGGAAAATAATTATGTAGAGACTTGACAATTAAGAGATTAGGCGTATCTTTCCTATAATGGGAAAGGGACTTGACATGGGAAAGCATATGAAAATTAAAGAAGAGCACAAACTTCACACTTGATGAAAAGAAGGAAATTTCAATTTTGGAAATAATTAAACATTTAATTATTCAAAGTATAGTATTAGGGTCAAGTGGAGTTTCTTTTGTGTTAATTTGATAATATAGGTCCCATTCGCTACAAAAAGTTAAATTTATTAAATAAAGTTTAAATTGAGAATCAAAGGAATTTATATTCATATTTGATTCACCATCACTCAAATTTTATTGCATGGATCCCACATTATATTGTCTCAAATCATCCAAAAGGAAAATCTTCAGTAAATGCAGAGAATCAGATGCAAGTCACATATATACAGATCTGAAATAACCACTATACTATTTAATATCTGTGTATGAATGTAAATATCTATATATCATATATGAAAGAATTGGTGCCAGGAAAAGGGTAAATGATGCAAAAAAGGTTCTTGAGTTATCATACGGCAGGCCTTTAGGAGACCAGTTACCCATCTGTATCAATTAATACAAAGTGCTAAAAATGCTTATTACTTTCTTAACGACAATTAATATTTACTAACAATATGCAATATTCATTAACATGAAACAATAATCATATACTCATTCCGTTTCGTTATAAATATTCCAAAAGCAAGTTGTTTTTTTAACAATATTTAAGATAGAAAATTGAAAAAACCATTAGTGTGTACGATCCAAGTAGACCGAATAAATATTTACATATTCCAGTTTGATAGTGGATAGCATGGTAAATCTTTTTAATATACATATTACTAGTGGTATTCCGGCGCTACGCGCCGGATTTGTATGTTTTATTCTTAAATAAATTTATAATTTATTTTATGGTCTCAGTAAAGAAACAAGTTCAAAAATATGAAAATAAAAGTACGTTGACAGGAAATGATACTTTTCCGATCAATTTGATAGTGATTAGCTATTGTAATGTATTACTTTGTTCTGAAGTTGCTTATTTTAAAGTGAAATAACATAAGTGATTGTGACTAATCGATTCAAGAAAAGTAAAATAAAAAGCCGATAGTCATAACAAATTTAATTTAGTTGGAATTTAAACATAAAGTAAAGTTGATATGTTTTATTTAGAGAACATACTTATACTGTTAAGTACTGTGGACAGTATATAGAAGGAACAACCTCTGAAATTTTGTTTTAGAGACTAATTTGAATTTAAATCTGTGTAATGAAGTTTTGTTCATGTATTCTTCTTATTTGATTTTTGGTAAGAAGCTATTTTTGGCAGTGGAACATATTAAAAATGAGGGAAATGATTTATATATCTTGTTTAGAAATTAAAACGGAAATCAAAAACAATATGTAAATGAAACTGAAAATTGGCATATAAAAACCCCCTTATAAATTGTAATAATGCTGAATGATAGATGATTTTCCCTACATATGGGATAGCTTATTTTTGTACAAAGCCATTGATCAATGCAGCGAAAACGGAAAATATGACCGCAAGTAAGAGAGCATAGATAGTCTCCATAGGTTGTAATTTCTGAAGCATACCGTGCATGTTTTGTTTTCTTCACATGTACTTGGAGGCCTATCAGTTCCCTCAAGATTGGTGATGATAAGGTTGACGTCAAGTCTTGCAGTCGTGCTTTGGTTGTAGTGTGTGATGGTAAGAGTAACTTGAAGATCATCAGTTATGTTATAGTCTTTACATGTTAGTAATTTCATCACGTTTTACGCTGTCTCTTGAATAAGCAAGGTTGAGTTGGGATGTTCTATTTCATGGTATTTTAACATGAATTCTATGCACTCAGTTATTGAATCATTAAAATTACTTTGATGGCTAGTGATAGATGGTACTGAAAATCAATGATAAATTGTTGTGTGTTGGGCTTATGGATGTAGACTTGGGGGTTGATTGGTAGAGCATTAGCATAAGCATTATGCTCTCTATTATCCAATCAACATTTGGCAAAGAAGCATTTTTTTTTTTTTTGAAACACTTAGAAAAGCATTTACCAAATGCAAATGCTCTCCAATCAACATTTGGCAAAGAAGCATTATCCAATCAACATTTGGCAAAGAAGCATTTAGAAAAGCATTTACCAAATGCAAATGCTCTCCAAATGCTCTTTGCTCAATGCTCTCATATAGAGCTTTTGGGAGAGCATTTGCATATAGAAAATATAAAACTTAATAATATTTATATATAATTAATTTATTTTGTTTGAAAATATAAAAAATATTTTTATAATTAAATATAAATTTATATTTAAAAAAATAAAAATAAAAAATATAATTAATTATTTTTAAAAGAACAATATTTCACATTTAAAATATAATATAATTTATATAATTACATATATCATTCATTATTTTTAATAACAAACATAACATAATATAATTTATATATTATCGATACAAACATATTATTTAGACACTAATAAATAAATTATATATTAACTTTTATGATAATTTTATATATGAGTAATTTAGTGCTCTACCAATAAATACATAATAATAATTTATATATAAATTATAATTAATTAATTTATTTATTTATTTAATAATAATTATAATTTAATAATAATTAATTAAATTATAACTATAATTTTATATATGAGTAATATGTTATATCCAAAAAAAAATTAATACTTTTTAAAAAAAAATTAAAATTTTAAATATAATTTACATAATGAAAATCAATTATTTTTAATAAAATTATATATTATTAATATATATTATATATATTATTTTAAAAAGAAATATATTATTTTATTAACTATTATGACAATTTTAATATTGTATACTGCTAATGCTCTGCCAATCACTTTATTAAAAAATTTAATGAAAGCATACAGCTTTTATAGCATACTGCTTCTGCAGCATACTGCTACTGATTTATCATCTGCTGTACCAATCGAGGCCTTGGAGTGTGCAACGGGGATTTGCTCCTAAAAGTCTTGTTTGGTGATAGTTCATAAGAGAGAAGTGGTTAGTTATTTATTCTTTGGCTATTGTGTAAGTTCAAGTTGAAAGCATCATAAGATGATATAGCTATGCCTTATATATGGTGAGTTTAAATTTTCGATTTTCTTGACTTCTTGTGACATTTTGTTTAAAGGACCATTTATTCAGAAGCGTTTTTTTTTTTTTGAGTCAGTGATGAATTGACTGGTTGTTTATGTTAGATTGTTAATTTTTATTTAACATTATCTATAAAACTTATATTGGTCTGGATTTGTAAGAGAGCATCATAATATATGTTCTTTATATTGAAGTTGCATTTTATTAATAATATAACTTTCATTTCAAATTTTCTCATGATTCTTCTGCTTTAATTAAGCAACGATATTTGTACTTTTATTTTAATTTTTTCTTATGGTGATTAGTTTTTAAACCAGTTGAACCAAATAATCAGTTCTTCTAATTTAACTTATATTTGTTTAATCATTTTTTCCGTAGACGTTGGGTGATTTATATAGACTATATTTTTATACATGTAGCGTTATAATATAGTTCTTAGTTGAGATTAGAGACACGTGAGAATTGCTTGTAGATATATGAATTTTCAAAATATTACTTTCTAGTGTACTTAATATTGTTGATATAGAATTTAGAGACCTGCCATATAAAGGGATTTTATGAGTACATGTTTGATTGAACACCTCTGGTTTACCTCCAACTGTGCCTAACCTTCAGCAGAAGCCTCCACATTTGATGGGTCAGTGAGATTCTTGTTCATGCGGAACCCATCCAAGATCCTTCGCTTTGTGTACTCCCTGATGTTGTAGTCAGGGTATTGACGCTCAGCTCCAAGCAAGGAAGATTTGGCGTATAAGAAACAGACCATGTTTTTGGTACAAAGCCTGCTTAGCTGCAATCAAAGTAAAAAAAAAAAACGATTAAAGAAAATGGTGGAACAGAGAAAGAGCTAAAGCCTCAAAGTTTGACATATGAAATAAAATAAAATAAAATAAAATGTGGTTTCTTACTGGATGATTATTTTTATATGTAGAGTATTTGTTGTTAAGTATAATTACTGTGTTCTATTCGGTGAGGAGAATTGTATATAACTTGAACACATTACATTTTGTTACACTTGGTAGTTGACTAATTATGCTTCTGCTTCTGGCTTGGTTTATTATATTATGAATGGTGTAGTTACACAAATCTTGATTTGGAGCTGAAGTGTGTAGTACTGTGGAAGCCTGAATACTTTCTCTGTTATCATGTTTTTCACAACAGTTTGTTAAGGGGTTTTCGAGATCTGGTGTTCGTTTTTTGGGGTTTGAATGTTACCTTGTCTTTATTGATTCAGTTGTTCTGATGGAAATTTAATCAATTAAACTGAAGTTAATAAATATAAATTTTATATAATTAAATTTGGATGTTATTACTTTGTTACAAACATCCCTTGTATATATATATATATATATATATATATTTTTTTTTTTATTTTTTTTTACTTCAGGAAGTGTTGAAGCTTTCGTTTTCCGCAAGAAACCTGTATTTGGCTCTTATGAGCTTTTTGTTGCAGTGACAGGAGTTGAAGTCCTCTCTTGCCACACTTCTGGAATATCAGAATACTTTTTATTGATTGAGACCTAAGATAAAAGAACCAGAAGCAACATGACATAACATTGAATCATGAGCATCCCCTTTACTACAATCTTGGAGGAACAAAAAACGTTTGAATCTGAGTAACAGTTGGGAAATTAATATAAACTTGGGAAAGATAAACTCTTGTTACATACCTTTCGAGAAGTGACCACAACATCTGATGATTTCGTGAAAAGCTCAGGTTCATCATGTTCTTCTCACCGAAATACACTATGAACCTACTATTGTTTATAACAGCAGAACCATCTTTGTTAGTGTATTGATGTCTAATTGTGTTACTGGTAAAAATATAATAATAATAATAATAATAATCTTTGCCAAGTACCTTTATGTTATCCCAACTCATGAAATCTGCTCTGCCCATTAAGAATCAAAGTTAGCACCAAGAAATTTCTGCAATTGTTCATTCCAAGCAGAACTGGAGTCTCATTCCAATCTCAAGCCACAATTATATAGGTGTCTGCTCGAGATGAGTTTGACCAAGATTTGACAGAAGCTCACAGATGTGGCACCGTAACAATGTAACTTAGTCGTCTCTTGTTTATTTTCTATTGATTAGCTTTTTGATGTAAGACTCGTAGTAGTAAAATGGTATTTTCCACTTTAAAATTCTGTAAAAATAAAGAGTGTGAAGCAACCAGTGTTCAGAACAGATGGTAGTAAGAACGATAGTATGTAGAAGATAAAGAACTTACATTTGGTCCAAAATTGCAGAACCAAGTATCACTCATACTCATTTCAACAACTCTGATATCCTCTGGAAGTTGTTTCCTTGCATTTTCCACTAACATTCATGGAAGACAAACTAATTAGTACAACTTTTCACTAAACCCGAAGGGAACTTCTTTTGCATACCAGGTATGATTCTAAATATGCCTGAGCGGTCTTTCACAAACTGTCACAAGTTCGAATTTTGAGATAGCCTTTGCAACATCTGTGACCCTCGTTGTGCGGGTAAACTGTTGTGCGGAGTGTTATCATGCCATTCCTACAGCCAGTTATGTCAGTACAATGCAGATCAAAACTTATTAAAGCGTGTTTGATTTTGACAAAAAGGCATGTTTGAGGTTAAGACTGAAACTGTGATCCATGCAATCTGAGATCATAGGAGCTTAACATAGTCACATGCTCTGAGATTTTTTATGTAATATCCTAAAAAGAATGACAAATAAGTCGATGTCACATATTTCTTCGTCTCTTAAACATAATTTAGTAGCTAAATCCTCAGAAGTAAAAAAACTCAGAAACTCTAAGACCATTGAAACAGGAAAATCAACAAACACAAAAGACAGCAAATCAAAAATAGTTAAACTACAAACAGAGAAAATAAATTGAAAACGAAGGTTGTGCGCGGAAGTCTAACCGCAAGGTTCAAGTATACATGATCGTAGTCGACGACCTTTCCATTATTCCATACTTGCCAATCATCTGCAGTCGTACCTTCCCAAACAAAAGTAGAAAACCCTAAAATCTCTCAGAACAACGATAAGAAGGAAATGTTCGTCGTTCTACGGCGGCGAAACTGATGACGAAGAAGACAACCCTAAACTGATAAAACCCATTGAATGACGCAGAAACTCCAAGACTCAAAAATGGCCCCAAAAAAAGTACCACGTGTCACGGGTTTTTGGCGAGCCCAGTCCGCCAAAATATTCGCCGGCAAAGCAAAAAAAAATTGAGAAGTACACCCAATGAGAGTGTGACACATGTCGCAAAACCCCCTTATCAAAAAAATGAGGTGGCCGATTGTGGAGGCAGATATGTCTATTTTATTATTATAGATTATCTGATTCCAAAAACAAATTACGCATCCGATTCAAAAGCGATTTATTATCATCAGCAAAACTGATTCTTTCAAATCCAAAACCGAAATTGGACCAAACCTATCTATCATATATATATTAGTATCACTTAAAAACATATTATTATCAATAGGTACGTAATTGTACGCCTAAAACAGAAAATTAGAAACTAAATAATTCAACTAAATGCTCGACTGGAGACTATTATGCAGTATAACTAGAGACTTGGAATTAAATATATGAGAGAAGGGCTTTACTTTCTCTAGTCTCCACAGACGGCCTCATCAGCAATTAGAAATATATGGTAATGACATGTCAGCCACATTTTGTGAGTGTTATTTTGTTATCAGCATATGTCCAATACCACCATCACATTTTATGTTTATGTTGATTTCATATTCTTTTAATACAATTCAGTTTTCATGTGAATGGACTACGTCAATTTAATAGGCCAAAGATTTAAACTTATTTAAACATTTGCTTTAATACAAGCAGTTGAGTTCACGTTCTCTTGTATTCACGTAAATTATTTGATCTGATATAGTATATACCTAAATAAAAATTTAAAATTTTAGTATTCATTATTTGTAAATTATCTCAAAAATAGTACGAGGCAATTATTAGGAATTTATAATGTGAATTGAAACAAACATATTTTCTAAAACATTATTTGTTGTTGAACCAAAAATATATTAATTAGTATTTATGGTTTTATTAAAACTATATATATTATATTTTTCAAATTTTAATTGTCATTTATTTATTAAACTAATATATATTTTTTGACTTTCCTTATATCTAGATTATTTTATTATTGTAGGAAACTAATTAGTGTCTTGAATGTTAAAACCTAAAACTAATCAAGAAAAAAAGAATAATAGTTATATTTACTAGATTATTTTTAAAAAACTATGTCAAAGTAATAATCCAATCTATTTTGTTGTTTAATGTACATTATAGTAACTGATGTTGTATATATTTTTCAGTGTATGATAGTTTTCTGATTCCTCACAAAAGAATAACAAAAAATAAATATAAATGTAAACTATCACTTTAACAAATTACTTATGGTAAGATAATTTTGTAATTTCTTATCTATTCATTTTAAATGTTTATTAAAGTTTACGGTACAATTTCAAACTACAATTGTTTTAAGATTTGTCGGTTTATAGCACTGTTTTCAATTTAGAGATTTTTATTTATTTTCAAATGCTTGATAAAATTTAAAACTAGTTATGTATTACTCCTTCCGTTTCACTTTACTTGTCATTTTAAATTTTTGCACACAGATTAAAAAATATTATACTTTACAATTTTTCATATAAAAATATTATTACCAATAAAACTAACCACATTTCAACTAATTGGAAAAGAGAATAACATATAAAATTAATAAATTTTGTCTTGAAATTATCAAACGACACATATTTTGAAATAAAAAAATTCTTCGTACAAAAACAAATAAATTGAAACCGATGGAGTATTTACTTTTCCGCTCGCGTAGGGGCCAAACCCTAGTTCTTATATAAATGTCATGTTTCTAATAGTGTTCACTAGTTTAAAATATAAGAAAACACTGCATTAAAAATACTAATGGCGAACGCAAACTACAAGCTGCAAACAAATAAAATATTTTACTATTTACATTTGTTTCTATTTTCTGAATGATGTTTGATAAAAAGCATTAGTTACCTTATTGTGATTGTTTAACATTTGAAATGCAGATTATATACATATATGCATATATATATATATATATATATCAACATTTTAACATGAACGGAAAAAACAAACAAGTACGTTTTTAAGATAAGTCATCTGCATTGTTACATCTAAAAGCTTACAATCTTTTTGTTGGTCATCAAGAAGCTTACACGTTATAATATGTTTCTTACCACTTACATGCAAAACATATATATCGACGGTTGATCAAAAAAAGTCTTCATAAGAAAACAACGAATTCATGGAAATTTGGTATACTTTTCACACGTTTCTCATTGTCATACAACATCGTCGCAGATGATAAACCATTGTCTACAAATATTTAGCCATATAGAACTCATAGAAAAAAAGTTGGGTGTAAATTCATGGATAGGATTAATGCTAACCAGTTAACAAGTTTTCGATTTGTTTATCATATCATTTTATACATGGAATGTGAACTAATCTAAGAACATGTGCAATGGGGAATTCTTAGGGGAGTCCTTAGGAAAAAAATAAAAAGAGTATTTTAGATTATATAAGGATATTTCAGATTTTTTCTTTAAAAAAAAATAAACTGACCACTCACGGATCGCCACGTGTGCAGTGGAGCCCATGAATAGTGTAAGGATTGATCCTTACATAAGGATTTTTAAGATAAAATCCTTAACTATTCATGGGACCCGGTGATTATAAAATTAATATTTTTCTAAGGACTCTCCTTAAGGATTTCCCATTGTACATGGTCTAATATACGTGATTGTAACGATCTCAAAAGTCTTTAAAACTTGCGTTGAAATATCGAAAGTACCCACATGAAATTTAAGTCCACAACTAGAATAAACGAAAAATGTAAGTATGTGATTAAATTTTTGTTCGGATGCAAAATGATATATGACAAGACAAGACAACGGTGTGTTTATTGCATGTGAAGAGATGTGATGTTGACTTCAGTGATTTGACCTCTCAATCTCGTCTTCTCTGCTCCTCTCTCGTTTGTCTTCCCTCTTCTTACATGTTTTTATACTTTTGAGACTTTTACATGAAGCTAAAAAAAAAAGTTTTTTCCCCCCTTGGTTCTCGTTTAGTCAAATTCTCTATCAGAAACATACCAAGATCAACAACACATGTATTTGCATGGAAATATGGCCTTTTATAAAAAAAAAGAATATGGCATTAATATGCGATTATATATTATTTTGATACTTTTTGTTGATGTGGTATAAGAGGATCTATAACCTGCATTCATTTCTCATTTCAAAATAGATTTTGAATTAAGATATTTTAGGTCTTATTCTATTTTTACTCTATAGCCGAATAAAAGTAGTTTATTTCATAAGTGGAGTAATATTTTATTTTAATTTAAAATATAATAAGATTAAAATAAACTCAGGTTTGTTATAAAGTTATTCTATTCTGAAGTAAAAATATTATTAAAGGCAATATTCTAACATAGACATAGTTAAGACTGAACATTTTATTCGTTAAATTTGATTTGATTAGTTATTCTTTTTGATTCAAGCAAAAAAATCTCGATATCCGTAAGTCATCGAAGCAAAATACAAAAAAATTTAGAGCCAGATAACTGATCCGCTTCAATTTTTATGCAAATGGATATACATATATAACTAAATATGGAATTTTAAATGTATAGTTTTATATATTTATTATTTTAGCATATTATTTTATTAATTTAATTTATAAAGTTACTTATAAAGGTATTAAATTAAGAAAAAAAAATATCAAATCCTTTTAAAAATTACAGTTTTTTTCTAAAATTTTGTGTTTTATTAGAAAATAGTTAATTTTTAGAAAAATTGAAACATATAGTTTCACTAATTTTTTTTTTTTTGTATTTTTTATTATTTAAAAAATAGTTTTGGAAAAACAATTAT